GGGGGGGGGGGAGGGGGTCCTTTGAAATTAATTATGATGCATGCATTTGTATCAACAAAATAAGACACCCCCTTGTGAAAATTTGATCTTGTGTGTCTCTTCACAAATTGAAAATAAAAGAAAAATATGAGTTGGATGCAGTTGGATGATGTGTCGTAATTGAAATTAATTAGCAAATAGATGTATTGTCATTTGTTTTGTCGTTTAATAATTGTGCAAGTTGCAAAATTTAAATTAGCAACTTTGCCAATTGATGTATGCATTATGGTATGTGTGGGCCGTGTGGCCTTAACCATATATGTTTTATAAGCTCAAGTTGGTATCACTACCAAAACCGGCCTATCGTAAACGGCGTCTCAATATAGAACGCAGAAAACCGTTTCTCTTATCGTTCAATCATTATATTAAAAAAAAACATTATACTAATTTTTATTTTACTAAACTGATCAATTTTGTCCACGATTCAATTTAAATGCCATTTGAGTCGATTTACTCATTTGATTTTTTTTGTGAGAGAGCTATGCAAAGTTTCGCTCCGTCTATAACATTTTTAGTGTGTGTGTGTGTGTTTGTTTTTGTGTCTGTGTCCATTTTTACGTCTGAAATATAGGGGTTTGTGTGTGAAACGTGTTCATTTATGCATGTTTTGTGTGTGAATGTGTGCATTTTCGACCTTTGTGTATAAAATGTAAGTTTTCTGTCAATATGTGTAATTTTATTTTTTCTAAAACTATTATTAACGAATTAAATGATGAAATTGAGAGTAAAATAGCCATTACATACAAAATAGACTAGTTAAAGGTTTTATAGCAAATAAAAATACAAAAGTGATGGACTTTAATTAGTAAAAAAAATATGATTTTTTTTTTCTTCTAGTTATTGTCCATTCTTAAAGACTTATAGCTAAATTTGGCATAAATGTAATAGGACAAAGTAAGGGCCACTTATGAACTATAACATCAAAGACATGAAATCCCACCTATATACAAAAACAAACCATTAAGAATTAGGAAGTAAACAAGTCTTTATACTAAAAGTGGACCCTTTGGACAAAAGGAAATAGGGAAATTGATTGATTATTTGTTTCTTTTCTCAATTTTTGTTTGTAGCACCTATTTCTGGAAGTGGACCAATTTTCCATTAAGTTGTATGAGCAACAAAATATGTGTATGGTGGTTCAATTGTCGAGTTCGATAATCACATTTCAACCATCGATAGTATTCATGCCCTACAAGGTTTATATTGTAACGAATAAGTTACATGATAGGTTGGTCGAGTAAAATCATCAGATATTCACACAAGTTGAAGAGAAATGAAATACTATTTAATTTTTGTTAGATTTATTTCGTGCAGATATTAGTTATTTGCGTCAGATTCAGTTTCGTTACTGTTATGAAAGTGTTGTAACAATTCTTACAAACAAAATTCAAAGAAACGCAAGTTAATTAATGTGGTTCAGATACAATTGTACCCTACATTGATCGACGAGTATCTACGAAAATGAATTTTCACTATCTTAGTTTTACAAGCACAATAATATATAGGACCTACACAATAAACTAAAGACT